GGCAAGACAACTTTTGTTGCCAGTACCTTCAACAACGAAAATGTGGTTGTGTCTGTGGTTGGGATGGGAGGATCAGGCAAGACAACTCTTGTTGCCAGTACCTTCAACAACGAAAATGTAAAGCGACATTTTGACTGTTATGCATGGATCGCTGTTTCTCAAACTTACGTGATTGAAGACTTATTCAAAAAAATGATCAAACAATTCCACAAAGGAAGAAAGGAAGAGGTGCCTGAACATTTGAATTCCATGAGTTATGAAGACTTGTTAGAGATGTTGTCGACATACTTGAAGTCTAAAAGGTACCTAGTTGTATTGGATAATGTGTGGGATATTAAACTTTGGCAAGAAATAAGGATACCACTTCTTAATAGGCATCATGGAAGTCGAATCATGCTTACGACTCGAGAGAAGGACATAGCCTTCTATTCTTTTGAAGTTGAAAGTCGTCCTCTTGAAATTGAACCCTAGGGAAACAATGAAGCTTGGGAGCTCTTTAGCAAGAAAGCATTCTCAACTTACGATAATAAATCTTGTCCACCAGAGCTTGAATCCTTAGCGTGGAAACTTGTGGAAAAGTGTGAAGGTCTACCTTTGGCTTTGGTAACTTTAGGTGGTCTAATGTCTTCCAAGAAGTCATCATCGGAATGGAGAAGCGTATATAACAGCTTAAATTGGCACTTGACTAACCATCCTACGCTAGAACCAATGAGCAGCATCTTGTTGCTTAGTTTCAAAAATTTGCCCAACCGGTTGAAGCCCTGTTTCCTATATTGTGCCCTTTTCCCAGAAGATTATCTCATCGAAAGAAACAAGTTGATCAGGTTGTTGATAGCTGAAGGGTTTGTTGAACCAATTGATGGGGTCACACCAGAAGAAGTTGCAGAGGGCTATCTTGTGGAACTTATTATTCGTAGCATGCTACAGGTTGAAAAGAATGAAGCTGGAGGACTAAGAACATGTAAAATGCATGATCTTGTGCGTGAGCTTGCTTTGTCGACATCAAAAAAGGAAAAGTTCAATGCTACATATGTTGGCAGGGAAATAGTAGATAAAGCTGAAATCCGCCGATTGTCAATTCAAACAACTGAAAAAGAAATTTATTCTTGCACAGGTATGTCAGAGCTTCGCTCCTTTCTTGTCTTTGGCGCGTTAAAGAAATTGCCTTCTGGATTCAAGTTGTTGAGAGTTCTAGATTTGGAGGATGCTCCAATTGATAGATTTCCAGATGAACTATTGTACTTGTTCAACTTAAGATATTTAAATTTGAAGAGAACTTTAATTGACGAGCTTCCAGAATCCATCGGACGGCTTCGCAGCCTTCAAACCTTGACCATCCATGACAGTAAGACAAAGGCACTTCCGAAAGCAATCTCCAAGTTACTAAACCTACGTCATCTAATCATGTATTGTTACACTGGTGATTGGGAGGCCTTTAGATTTGTCAATGGGACAAAAGTAGCATCCGATCTAAGTAAATTACAGAAACTGCAAGTTTTGCAATGTGTTGAATCAGAAGGAAAGATTATTAAAGTCATCAGGAATATGACCCAACTTACACGCCTCGGTATTACAAATGTGAAAGCATGTGACGAGATGGACCTATGTGACTCCCTTCAAAAGTTAGAGCTCCTTCACTCTTTGTTTTTAATGGCAAGTGATGAAGAGGAGTTTCTTCGGGTTAATGCACTACGTTCGCCTCCTGCAAACCTTCAAATGGTTAATTTGGCCGGAAAACTAGAAAAAGTACCTCTTTGGTTTGGTTCGCTCCATCACCTGACACGCATGTAGCTAAGTTGGTCTAGACTTGAAGAAGATGTACTACCTCACATTCAAGCATTGCCGAATCTTGAAAGGCTTGGGCTAATTAATGCGTATGTTGGCGAAAAACTGTGTTTCTCCAAAGGCTTCATAAAGCTTAAGCATTTGATGTTGCCCATCTTCCCTTTATTGAATAGTATAGCTATAGAGAAAGGGGTGATGCCAAATCTCCAGGTCTTAGACATTGATGACTACATAGAGTTAAAGACATTGCCACAAGGCATTGAGTTCCTTGCTAACGTAGAACGCTTGAATCTGAAGTCTGTTCCAATGCAACTTATAGAGTCCGTAAAAAGGAGGCATGGATCATCCAAAGGTACAACACATTCCTGAAATCAACCTGGATTATGGGTGGTATCGTGAAAGCTTGTCTGGTATTCACTCTCGTAGAAGGTGTGCACGCTTTTATGCATGCATAAAAAATTTCCACAACGTAATCATTTGAACTATTACATTAGAAAGGTTGGTGATTTTCACTCTTATTTTTTCTTAGGAAAACTAATAAAAGGGTTTGAAAACTTTAAAACCTTTTTTCTTATGCAATTTTCCTCTTGTTTTTGTTCGTTAGTATTTTGATTTATTTAATTTTAAGGCTACGAAAAAAGAGGAAGTGGTGCATCGAAGTGTAAAAATCATTTTCCCTTATACTTTGCATGTTCGATCTTATTCACAAGTCTGGCAAAGACATAATGTATGCATGCATTGAGAATTTTTTAGGTAATTGTGTTTCTTTTGTTTTGTAATATCCTTATGTAGAAACAAGCTTCAGAAGCATTTGTCGTGAGACTGCAGTGAGATCTCCTTTTTGGCAATTGATTTTGCGGTGAATCTTAACTTTCGTTATAGTATCAAAGCAGACTATATACGTGTTGAGACATTAGCCTTGCAAGGAAGAATCCATTGTTTGTGTAAAGTTGCAAACATTGATCGATCTTGGTTTCTTCTTTGCCCTTTATGAAATTGAAAAATGCTCAAGATTCTGTTTGTGTAACTGGAACTTATATTACTGATTGCTTGTGTGTGTTTGATGTAATAATATTGTTTATGTAAAGTTGCAAACATTGATCGATCTTGGTTTCTTCTTTGCCCTTTATGAAATTGAAAAATGCCCAAGATTCTGTTTGTGTAATTGGAACTTATATTACTGATTGCTTGCGTGTGTTTGATGTAATAATATTGGTTTGGAATTGAGGAACTTATATTACTGATTGCTTGCGTGTGTTTTGATGTAATAATATTGGTTTGGAATTGAATATGTCACTGATGAGACCAGTCCTAGCTTAATAAATGGTTATGACCTATTTTTCATTTTCAATATATATTGTTTTTTTATCAAGTTCTCAAATATATATTGTATTAGATGAAAAGAAGTGATTTTTGTTAAGTAAATAAATAATAAGAATAATGCTAGGTACACTAAAGTATCGTTTGGTATGCAGACGGGACGAGACAGGACAGAACGGAACAGAACGGAGCGGGAGCAAAGATGCCCTCGGATGGAAACAAGGAGGAAGAAGAAGCAGACGGAGATGTTATAATTTTGTGTTCCACGAATGTGGAACGACTCGTTCCAGGGGGTGAGGTGGAACGAAAATTCACCCAAAACTCGTTCCGTGGAACAGCTCGTTCCACCCGTTTTAGGCGCACCAAACGTGGGAAGGAACGCCTTGTCCCACTCTGTGTCGTCCCGTCCCACGTACCAAACGGTACCTAAATGATGTGGCTAATTACATTTTGATTTTAATTCAAATTGGATTTGATTAATAATTATAACAAAAATTTATACAGTGGAATACATGTGACATTATTTAGTACATAAATTTAGTGCATAAATTTAATGCGTATAACATTGCCCAAATAATAATAATAATGATTGACCAATTTGTGTAAATATATTACTGTATAACAAAAAAACTATATTCATTAAAAACCTACAAACCTCAACATTCCTAAGCAACTTATTTTTATTTTTTTTGAAAAAACGATATTATCTACACTAAGAATGAGAGGGGAGGTAAGCTAAGCCTCACAATGAGCTAGTAATAATGTGGTTCAAATTTGTCTTTGGCAGAATCAAACCTAAGATTTCTCACTTATAAATGAAAAGGAGTACCACTAGACCGTAATATTAAATGGCAGGAACTTATGTACTTACTTAAGAATATTAACAAAGGGCGCATTCTAGAATTTAGAGGTTATCGTGTTCAATCCTACTCTCATAATGTCCTCATTAGTCATAAGATTGTATTATTTTAAATCTAAAGATTTAAAATATTTGACAACTTAATAGAGCAAAACCAACTTAAAATCCATGAACTATTAGAAAAATCATTTTCTTGTTTTGCTTAAGTTGTCAAATATTTTAAGTTTTTGGATCTAAACTAATACAATTTTATAGTTAATATCATTTGGTCCTTATATATCATCAAAATGAAGACCTTACGACAACATGACTCTATGGTGTTTCAAACAAGTTCAGTTGATAATGTTCTCACATGATTAACAACGAGCCCATTCTAGAATTTATCGTCGGCCAACATGGTCGGTCGAGTATAAATGTTTAGAAGACCCTAAATTATATGTGCCTAGAGCTAGATAGACCCCTATTCGGAATGGACACAAGTACAAATGTTTGAGGGCCTTGGGGTGAGATAATGACTTAAGTAATTTAGGTACGTTGTTACGTTTCATGCTAATAATACAACATCGATATGTTTAAGTTTTTCTGTACAAAACAATGTATCACTACAATAAAATGTCATAATAATAATATACTTATGTCATGTAAATTACTCTCGTGTATCATCAAGAGCACACTAAACGGTGACACTACCAATTATTATTTTAAAAGAAAACTAATGAAAATGAATTGAAAATTTTGAATTTTAACGATAAGGATAAAATAAAGGGTAAAGCGAATAGTGACATGATTGACTTTTTAGTATAAAAATATGATTTTTCGTTAAAGTAAACAGTACCGAGAGTTTTTCGTTAAAGTTTTTTTTTTTTAAACACATTAGAGTAGGATTAGAACTAAAACTCAGTAATTACTTAGTGTTGTCGTTAAATCTTGACCGTTCGATCGATCTAAGGGCTGTAATCAAAATCCGCGAGAGAGACGGACGCAATCTCCAACCAGGACTCTGAGTACTTGGCTTCGACATCCTATATATACAACAAGACACACCATTTACATGCATACATACATCATCGACGTTAAAGTTTCAAACCCTAACGTTGGCTCTTTCCGTCTTGTCTCGTCGTCTGTTTTTGTTCCTTCCAGAAAGTGGAATCTGAAGAATCCGACGGTAACGATGTCGATGATAGATAACTTGTTAAGGATGGAAGATAACTTGCAGGACTGGTTTATAACCAAACGCCAAGAGCTTCTGAAATCTGCGAGAGTCGCTATGGAAGCTTTGCTCTGGGAACCCAGAAGTTTCCGGAACGTTTTGAATTTGGCAATCAAATTTACCAAGGCAATCGTTTTGGTGCCCCTTTGTGTGCTGGCCATGTATGCTGTGATGCTGATTAGGGTGGGAATCGCTGGTTTGATCGGCATCCCAGTGCTTTTTATTTTTTTCATCGTCGTTGTCGGTGTCCGTAAGTTACTGACCATCGACTTCGACTTGCAAATTATTGGACTTTGATTTCTAATTGTTTGTTCGTTGCACACCAACTGTTTGTTTAAACGATTCAATGAGTTTTTTGTTTCGTTTCTTTTCTTGCAGGTTACGGTCGGGCACACTATCTGTTCTTCACAAGACGAAACCGCGCGGGGATCTCGTATGACGACTTCCTTGATAAGTTCTGCACGTGGTTGGTAAACAATCCTCTTCCACCTTTCGAATCATTTGGTGAATCCACTCCATATTGGGCACCGTTCATGTGGGGCTTCAAATTGGAAGAAGATTGAGGAAGATCTCAGAGTTACTATGGCATGTATGTAGAGATTGTTAGATTGGATGACCATAAAATTAAAATTGCTGCTTCTGTTTATTTTTCTCTCTCTATTAATTTAATTTTTCTTTCTAAATAACTACGCCATTTATCGGAGAGCGTATTGAACGACCTAGCATCGGTAAGAACGACTTGTGACATTACGATACAAAATAAAATAAAATAAAATATAAAAAAAAAGAGCGGTTTGTGACAAAATATCTAGCATTATGGTTAAAGTATAGCATCTATGTATTATTCTTCTTCACTTGGAAGTAATTTTTTTCAATTAATTACAGGAGCACGACTGTGATTGAAACTTTAACATAGATAATCGAACTATTAGAGTCCAAGAAAATTTATTTGGCAAGGATTTCGAATTGCGTGGGTTAAAAGAGAGGCCATACCCTCACTTTTTGTTAGAATCAGACTCTATGTATGTTGTTCATCTCCTATGAACTCGTTCTACGAAAGTTCCCTTGTTTCTCAAAGTTGTTTACGGTAAATTGCCTATGATATAGTGCTCGCTTAAGCTTGCATTTTTAGCATAAATGTAAGGAGTGGAATTGTTTGGCCAATGATTTTGCTAATTATGGTTAGTCAATTTGGCTAAACTGTTTTGGAAACCATTTTCACACTCTTTTTCATTCTTTTGCGCTTTTTTATTTATTTTTCTAGCGGTTTGATTGAATAAAGTAAAAAAAAAAAAAAAAAAGTCACAAACGAAGAGATAAGCAAGGAAAAGAAAGGGGAGTTTTAAAAATTATTTTTCGACTGGTAAATTCACACATTTTCAACTAATACTCCTTTTATAAAAAAATTCAAAAAAAAAATCATTTTTTGTCAGAATATATATATATATATATATATTTTAGTCAAAATTTAATATTTCACGTCTCCATGGACTCTCATTTTTCTTAATTTTTTAACTCACTAATGCTATCGCTCTATTAAAAAAATGTTAGTTTTTTTGTTGCAATTAATATTTGTTATTTGAACGGACGAAGATGGCCTTCAATTCAATTTTAAGGAGGACTTGACTTGCATGGAACGAATACACCGTCACATGGCGTCATATGCCAATAAAATAATACAAGGACATATGTTAGCTTTTTTCACATATCCTTGTATTTATTGGCACGGGATACCACAATGGCACTAAAGCCATGCAATACAAGTTGTTTTCATTTAATCAACATTTACAATAGAACCTCTATCAATTTAGCAAATATTAAATAATCGATAAGATAATACCAATTTAATTTTAAGGTTAGGGATGATTTTCCGTCCGGTCGGATCGGAAACAAGTAACCAATGCCAATCCGAAAAAGTTTCGGAACAAATATTAGTTCCAAATTAGGAATTTTGTATTTTTCGGAATTTATCGAAATTTCGGAATTGATTTTATCTCAAAAAATTTGGAATATAATTTGAATTTCCTACATTTTGTAAGACTTTGAAATTTTTTGAACTTTTATGTATCTGCTGTTCAATATTTTTTATAATTTTTTTTTTGCAACATTTTGTATAAAATTATAATAGATAAAATAAAGAGTGATTTTGTATAAAATCAATACAAAGTTACCACATTGACAATAGATCATCAATATTTATGTCAATTATAAATAGGTCAATCATGTATTGTGACACTTAAATGCATTTAAACTAAACAAAAATTACATAATCTACCACTACAGCTGGCACCCACTTTAACTAGCACCATCTTTCTCATATTTTTTTATATTTTGGAATAGGTTAATACGGATCAAACATTGCAATGTAGTGTCTGTTTCCTAATTCAGGTTTTTACATTTGGATTCAGATGCTATGTTGCAGTGTCCATTTCATAGTTTTGTTTTTTTCCATCAATCACATGCCTCATACGTGCCCGTTTTTACTTTAGATTCAGACACTGTAATGCAATGTCTGTTTCCTAGTATTGTTTTTATTTTTCGATTCAGACACTACGTTGAAATGTTCGTTTCCTGGTTCTATTTTTTTTCATCACTCACATGCCTTTTATGCTTAACACCTCACGTGACTATTGATTTTTACATTTGGATTCAGACACTGCAACGCAATGTCTGTTTCCTGATCTCTATTTTTAACATTTGGATTCAGAGACTGCACCGCAGTGTCCGTTTCCTAGTTTTCAATTGTTGATCATAGAAGTCTGTGTTTTCTCGTTTGAATTGCTGACCACAATGTCCCTTTTTTTATTTCGCATTGTAGACATGTAAATGGTGGTGGGAAAAACACGAACGTATAAGGAAACAATTTTGTGAAATGGGAGAAATAAAATCCAAACAATTTCAATTGCTTAATTGGCAATCGAAATTGACAAGCTCCAAGAATTTGCGAAACTATTTCCTCTCTGGTACATCAACTCGACTACAAAAGAATAGCTTTTAATCCTACTCAAGTTTCATTTTTGGTATCTAAATGTTTTCCTGATTTAATGAATTCTTCCTTCAAACATTGAGTTTTTAATATCATCACTCCATTGTGCTTTACAGATGTAAAGGCCTTAAGAAGTTACAAAATTTCACAACCTTTCACAAATGAGAAAGCACCTGTCTTTGATCTCCGCAAGTCCCAACTAAACACCGGCAGTCGAACCATTGAGAATCGACGTCATCGATTCCCAATTCTGCTAAGTCCAATTCGATTTCAAAAGCAGAGGAGAGAGAGATGGCGACGAGTCCGACGATACTGAAGGCAGGGCTGGTGATAGCTGGGATGTGCATAGGCAGTTACATAGTGGGCCCACCTCTATACTGGCACATCATGGAGGGCTTAGTCGCCGTCTCCCACTTTTCTTCTTCCTCCTCTTTCGCTTGCCCTTCCTGCACTGGCGATTGCTTTTCTCACCCTCTCCTCCATCCCCATTGAAAATGACATAAAAGCACATGTGACATTCATCATTGACCTGTCTCTAATTAATAAAAATATATCATTGATTAAGTTCAAAACAAAAATATGTCATTGATATATAATTAAATATTGTAAAGTTTTTATCAAATTTTTACTAAATTAGCTTAAAATAAAATAGTATGTATGGTTATACTGTTAAGAATCAATAATTATCTTATTAAATTATAGGGTTAATCTCATTTTACTACCCTAAAATTTCTTGGTCTTCAACATTTGGCACATGAAGTTTTTTTTATCCCAGAGTGGTACATAGAGTTATAATGACAAAAATACATAAAGTTTTTTTCATCCCAGAGTGGTACAAAAAAAATTAATCATTAAACAACACTATTAAAATGACAAAAATACCCCTGCCACATTTGATGCATTATTTGGTTTGTTTTTGAAGTTTTTTGTTTGAGGAGCATTTCTGTCTAATTATTTTTGGTGAAGCTTATAACACCAAAAAACCACTTTATTGGGCCATTGGCTTTATATATAAGATAAATAAATGAATAACTTTTTGATACATAGTACTTATAATCTAGAGTTAATCTCAGTTTACTATCCTAAAGTTTCTTGGTTTTCAACATTTGGTACATGAAGTTTTTTTCATCCCAGTGTGCTGTGTGTTAGAGAGATGTGGGAGGGAAAGAGAGAAATGGAGTGGGTGGAGTCGAAAAGGGAGGGGGAAGGGTGGGTGCATGGGGGATAAGGGAGGGGGGTCGGAAGGGGTGAGGGAGAAGGGTAGGTGCAGACGCCCAAATTTTTATTTTATTTTAATTTTTTTAGTTTTTATTATTTTATTAATTTATTTTCCTTTTTAATATCCACGTGTTGTTAGATCCCATATCGTCCAAGGAAGAGGATCCTCTATACCTTATATGTACATGCCCACCTCCATATAGCGCGAGGCCTTTTGGGAGCTCACTGGCTTCGGGTTCTATCGGAACTCCGAAGTTAAGCAAGTTCACGCGAGAGCAATTTCAGGATGGGTGACCCAGTGGGAAATTCTCGTCTGAGTTCCCAGAAACAAAACCGTGATGGCGTGGTCAGGGCCCAAAACGGATAATATCGTGCTATGGCGGAGTCGAGCCCGAGATGTGGTGGAGCCTGGATTAGGATGTGTGGTGGAGCCTGGATTAGGATGTGACACGTGATGCTTAATCATTGTCCACGTGGATGACACGTCATCAGTTAAAGGAAAACTTAACAGCAACCTTAACAGATGTATGAAAGTGTCCCAAAATTATAACTTTATGTACCACTCTGGAATGAAAAAACCTTCATGTACCAAATGTTGAAAACTAAGAAACTTTAGGATAGTAAACTGAGATTAACTCTAGATTATAAGTACTATGTATCAAAAAGTTATTCATTTATTTATCTTATATATAAAGCCAATGGCCCAATAAAGTGTTTTTTGGTGTTACAAGCTTCACCAAAAATTATTAGACAGAAATGCTCCTCAAACAAAAAACTTCAAAAACAAACCAAATAATGCATCAAATGTTGCAGGGGTATTTTTGTCATTTTAATAGTGTTGTTTAATGATTAATTTTTTTGTACAGGTTTTTTTTTAATAATTAGTACCTCACAATAAGCTAGCAATAATGTAATTCAATCAGTTGTTCATTAAATATTATTTTCTATATTTTTAAACACGTTCAAAACATCTTAAAAGACATGTAATGCTGGCTATAAAAAATGTCTTCCGGACGTGGATAATAATGTAATTAAATTATTTGTCAAATGATTTTTTTTTTTTTTAACAAACGATATTATCTAGACTAAGGGAGAGAGGGGTGAATTTAGCCTCACAATGAGCTAGCAATAATGTGATTCAATTAGTTGTTTATTAAATATTATTTTCTCTATTCTTAATGTAAATTCAATAGAGACTGATTTTATTACGTGGCTTCAGCTGTTTTAATTAGTTTATAAGGGGTTTCTTCATGATCTAAGATTATTCGTTTGCTTCAAATATTTGACTTTCTTTTTGTCAATTTACGCATATAAAATACATTTAAAACGTGTAAGTCGCGCATAGCATGCCGTGATTCAAAAAATGCCTTCTGCACAAGCATGAGCGCGTGCATGAAGGTTAGTACGTTATATGAGAATGAGACCTATATAAATATTTTATA